TCAGAGAGTCCAAGGCAAACCTGAACGCTGGGTTTCTAAGAGCGGCTGGGCATTCGGAGCTGGCCAGATGGGCTGGGACGGGACGAGTCCCGAACTGGGAGTTGCACCTGCAACAGCAGCTCTCTGTCGTGGCTATTAAAAGCTGGACGGGGGTGGGCAATAATTTTTTGCCGGGGGCCACTTCGGATATTTTTGAAGTGGCCCCGGGCTGCACAGGAAGGGGCGGGGCATCGACTGGAAGGGGTGTGGCCAAGATATTTCCGGATTACCCACTATGATTGGTTTGGGGGTGAGGGAGTGCCTTTGCCCCCACCTCACGTTCCTCCAAGGTGCCCTTCAAAGCGCCATGTCCTGCTGGCAAGGTGGGAGACTGCGTTGCGTGCTCCCCGGCCCCTAATTGGCCTGGGGATAAGGAAGCAGCAGGGCCTCCGCGGGCCGGATCCACCCACTTGGCGGGTTGGATCCAGCCTACAGAGGCCCTTTTGCGCACCCCTGGGCTAGACCCTGGATTTAATATTTCTGCTCTTTCTGACTAACCTCCTGGTCACCTCCCACCGACCAGTCTTTCTCACGGGCTCCCTTCCTTGCCTTCATCCATGGAACGACCCCCCGGCAGGCACCTCCCACACGAGGATATTATAACCGTTAACCGGCCCCCTGTTGGTGATCTCTGGCGGTGACCAGCTGGGACAGCCCCATCCACGGAGGGGCCGGTGGGACCCCACCGCCATGGCGGGCCCCGATGTGGGAGCCAGGTAGTGGGAGGGGCTAGCCAATAGGGGATTTTTTGAATGTTAGGCAACTTTATTTTATACACAAAGGGCTGAAGCCGCCTACAGCCCCCTTCCTGCTGGGCAGAAGCCTCTAGCCTCTAGGGGTGGGCAATAATTTTTATGGGGGGGGCACGTCACAAACTTTGGTTCGTCGTTACGGGCTGGCTCCACCCCCTGCTGCCTCCGGAAGGGGCGGGGCTTTGGGCAAAAGGGGTGGTTCCCTCCTACGTGCTGTGTGTCCTTGGCGGGGAGGGGGGAGACTTCACGTGATCCCCTGCCCCGAGGCCAGTCAGGACCTGGGTGTGGGGGAGTCATTCAAAGAGGCTGGCGGTTCCCTCTAGGGGTGTGTCTAGACTACATGCCTCCGTCGACGGAGGCATGTAGTCTAGACACACCCCTAGAGGGAACCGCCAGCCTCTTTGAATGACTCCCCCACACCCAGGTCCTGACTGGCCTCGGGGCAGGGGATCACGTGAAGTCTCCCCCCTCCCCGCCAAGGACACACAGCACGTAGGAGGGAACCACCCCTTTTGCCCAAAGCCCCGCCCCTTCCGGAGGCAGCAGGGGGTGGAGCCAGCCCGTAACGACGAACCAAAGTTTGTGACGTGCCCCCCCCATAAAAATTATTGCCCACCCCTAGAGGCTGACAAACAGCTGATCGGCAGAGCGGGGCAGCCATTTAAATTTAAATGAAGCCGCGATTATTTTAATCGCGGCTTCATTTCCCTCTGCCGATCTGGCTAATCTACATGCCTCCGTCGACGGAGGCATGTAGTTTAGACGTACCCTTGGTGTCGTGCGCCCCGGTGGGGGAGGGAGACGCCAGCCTCTTTGAGCAGTGAATGACTTTGTGCACTCCCCCGTTGCCAGGTCTCGATTGGCCAGGGAGCAGCAGGGTGGGCCGTACGGATCTGGCCCATGGGCCATATCTTGCCCAACCCTGCTTTAGTCCCATCCTGGGGCAGAATCCCTGAGCTCCCCCACAATCTGGTGGGTAGAGAGGGAGGGGGACGAGGGGCTCCGTGAGCCAACCTCTGAACTGTAAAAGAGCCTCATGGGGCTTGCATACTGCGGTTTGGCCACCCCTGAAGTAGAACCACCGACTAGATTGTCCAGGTGACCCTGAAACGCCGTTTGCCCTTAATATTTGTTGCTGGACAAGCCATCCATGCTCATGGAACCATATGGCCCTGTAAAAAGAAAACAAACCGCTCCCTACCTATCCACCTCCTTTCCCCGTTAAATCTAACCACCCCTCCTGCAGCAGTGAGTTCCGCCTTGCATCAACAGGAGGAGTAACGAGACATTTCATTATTGTCTCCTGAATGGTGTGATGTTCCATTTCCTACTGCCCTCTCTTCTGAGGGGACAGGGCAAGAAGGGGGAGCTATGTCACGCTGTTAACTGCTGTGTAGCCTCTGACCCCTCGCTTTGCCCTCTCTTGGCCAAGGGGAGAAAAGGGATAGTGTCTGTTGTGCAGGGCGTGTCATAAATCTGAATTACTTTGATTGTGCAGCGTGCTGAGAATGCCAGGGGCTAATTATTATGATGTTGTCTCAGATATGCTGGAAAAAGAACTCTATAAATAGATGAGATTTCTGTAGACTTCCTTATAAAGGGCTTGTCTCTAGAGGGAAATTGACCAGAATAGCTGTGGTGGAATAAACTCTCTGGAATAGCTCCCCATGTGAACCCTCTAATCCAGAACGATTAGCGTGCTCGCAGCCAGCACTAATCGATCTAGAATCAAGTCTCTGTGCAGGGGATGTATCCCGCAGCGCGGACGGTTTCCCCATGTAGACCATTCCGAAGAAGGCACCTTAGATCAAAGACTTAAGTCTTGAGAATAGTTGGGCTCCGATTCTCAGAGGTGTGTAGCTGCCTAGGTCCCCATTGACTTTAAAGCCAATGGGAGTTGGGCACCTACATCCCTTTGAGGATCGGGGCCTTGATCTCTTGCCGCAAGCGGCTGGGGGTTTGTATCCAGGGTGGCATTTCTTTGGGCTGGAATTGACTTGGGGGCGTGCAGTGGGTTACTGACGCAAGAGGGGAGGGAAGCATTGCAGATGGGCCCCGAAGTTCGTTGGCTGACTCAGAGGCACCTCCTTCTGTTGGGGTGCCTCAGTGAGTGTTTCTGGGCACAGGCTATTTGGGAATGTAGGGCAGAGAGAAAGTGAGCTCTCTCCTTCACCCTGTGGTTTCCCCAAGTGGCGCAGGGGTGCCTTGCTCTATAAACCGCCCCGTGCCCATTCAAAGCCAGGCCTGTGTCTCCCTGCAGTCTGTGAATGGTAGGTGCCCTCTGCTTCGACAGGTGGCCGTGGCTACATGACACACGAGCTGATCAGAGCTACGGCCGTTCCCACCCGCCCGCTCCCGGAGGGCTTGACGAGGCACCACAACTGGGCCGTTCGTCTTCTCCGCGTGACGGGCTATATTCGGCTGTTTCCCCATCAGCCTCGCTCCTTGGAATGCCCCCTCCCTGCCGCTCCCGGGGCCAGACATCCTGCACCCCGAACCGGGACCGGGGGAATGCTGAGAAATGTGAAGGGAGGACCCTTGACTTGAGGGGTTGGCCGCACGTTGCTGGCAGGGGTGGGAGGGGAGTCGAAGGCCTGACGCGGAGTCCATGCCGCGCCGAATGCTCCGGGCTGGCGGAGTTGTGGGGGTCGGAGACCCGGCTGTCGGTCGCTCCTGGCGAACGTCTGGGCTGTTGTCCTTCCGGGGGGCAGGGGGGGGGTTGTGGTGGTACGTGCCCCTGTCTCTCTTGCGAGAGCCGGGAGCTGCACCCGTTGCTGGCAGAGGCTGGGTCTTTCTAGGCGTCTTCCCTCGGGGTGAGGTCGGCACCCCTCCCCACGCTCCTCGCTGGCACGCACCAGGCAGAGTGGATGCCCTGGATTCGGGGAAAAACATTCCTCCTGCTTTCGACCTCCGGGCTGGCTCTTTGCTCTTGGGGTGAGCGGGTGGAGGCAGAGATGGGTCCAGGTTTTGTGGGGTCTGGGCCAGAGCAAGCGGGAGCCCCCTCTTCACCTCTTCCACCTGCTGTCCTAGCCCACTTCTTCCTGGGGCCCTGCCCAGACATGCAGCTGCATTCTGCCCTTTCTCCAGTGCCCGGCCCTGCCTTGCCCATTCCACCCCTAATGGGCTGCCGTGCCTTCCTGCCACCCTCCAGGATCCCAAGGCTGTTGGGGGGCTGTGTGGGGGGGAAGGGGGGGGGAGAGTGAGAGCTGCCCCAGCCCTGAGGCTGAGGCAGGGAACTAGAACTTCCCCAGTCCGGGGGCTGCAGCTGGGATCTAGGGTCCGGGGTATCCGCCCCCAACACTTCTGAAGACTTCC